GTATTTGGACTAATAACAGACAGCCGGACTAATAACAAACTGCTTGAAGGAAAATTAATGCTTTATTTAGAAAATTTAAGACATGCTTTCAATTAATCAAATGCAGATTAAACAAGGATAGCTATCTTAAGTGCCATTCTGAAGGAAAAGATAAATATAATAAACAAATTAGCACTTTTCCTAGTTCCCTACAACTGATCTAGTATGCAATCTACCTCAGGCTTTTAAGTAAATATTTGTACATTAGAGAGGTTTTTTTACAACATAGGAGGAAAAAGCTAGTGTTCTGGGCAGCCACATATTAATTTCAGCATAAAGGCCTCTCTAAGAGAGGGAAACAGAGTTCATCCAAAAGGCACAGAAAAGGAAGGTTACAGTCTTAATGCTCTACAGTATGTTAATATACTAAAGGACATTCCAATCATTGATCAACTGCATTTCAGTGGCAATCAACTGCAATTTCCCTCTCCACCAAAGAAAAAGATTAAAATATTAGGAGATTAAGCAACAACACAGGGTTATACTATCCCATCCTTCAAATAAACGTAACAGTCATGGTTTATTTTGCAAAATGATAAACATTACCAAGCCATGGTGGTTAGAATTGCAGTATTGCAGACTACTTCAGCTAACTGTCAGGAGTTCAATCCTCACTGGCTGAAGGTTGACTCAGCCTTCCAAGATCAGTAAAATGAGGACCCAGATTGTTGGGGACAAGATGCTGACTCTGTAAATTGCCGAGAGAGGGTTGTAAAGCACTATGAAGCGGTTTATATAAGTGTTATTGCTACTGTTCCTCAGCCAACTTGGCTTCGTTTTTGCAATATGCATGTAATAATGAAGAGTCTTACTGGCATTTACAAGTTTTTAAAGCATCTGGACCTGATTGACCTAACTTCAGAAGGATAGAAATTCCTGTCTTTCTGTTCTCTTACTTTTTAGTTTTTCAGTACATAGACTACTATCTAATAACAGCTTTATTAAAAACCGATTTTTGGAATGTTTTATAAAGTAGCAGTAAATGTCATGCTAAAGAGAAAAAAATCTGGAAATTTTCTTCTATACAGTGTGTGTAAATTATTGATTACCGGTAGTCCTCAATTTATAACCATTTGTTTAGAGATCATTGGAAGTTACAATGGCATTGAAAAAAGTGATATATGACTTTCACACTTATGACCATTGCAGCATCCCTATGGTCATTTGATCAAAATTCAAGGGAACTGGCATGTTTTTATGATAGTTGCAGTGTCCTGAGGTCATGTGATCACCTTTTGTGACCTTCCAATAAACAAAGTCAATGGGGAAGCCAGATTCACTTAACAGCCATATTACTAATTTAATACCTGCAGTGATTCATTTAACTGTGGCAGAAAGGATGTAAAATGAGGCAAAACTCACAACTGTCTTGCTTAGCAACAAAAATTTGGGGCTCAATTGTGATCATAAATCAAGGTCTACCTGTACTACCGGTAGGATTACATGTTAAAAATACTGAAAACTAGACTTTTCTTATACCTTTTCTTACAATAGACAGGATCTAACATGATCTGCCTTGAATCACAGCTTCTAGAAAGGGCAAAATCCTGGAAATGTGGGGACTATTTTTAATTGGGAGGGGGAACTGACTCCTTCCACTGGGGGCAATGATGACTTCATCAGATTGTGATCAGGAAGCACACATTTGCTGTAATCCTGTTCTTCCTTTGGTGACAAGATTTTTTTTAAATGCTAAGGAGAATGTTAGAGAATGGCTATTGTTAGGTTCACTGCTAACTCCCTTATGCTATTCTGTATCAATATAAAACCACTGAAGGTTACCTAGGATTGTGATATGGTGTTTCTTCTCTCTTTATTCCAGAGAGGTTACTGAGATTATGAACCTTATCTGAAAATAGTATTGGATTGCATATGACAGGGATTGAATTCACACAAATAGATACCTCACTGTTTGTATAACAATCTCTCAGTTAGATAGGGATATAGTCTGTTCTAGATGCACTCTCTTCTGGGATGCCTCACAAATTCAGCTTTCATTTTGGCTGTAGCCATGATTTTAAACATGCTTCACATAAGCTACACTCATACTGAATAAAATCAAAAGTTATATATTCACAGTGATGAACTATAGGAGATAACTTAGAAGAGCATTTGAAATTTTCCCTTGATCGAGAATGTAATAACTCAAGTTTTAAAAACAAGGGTTTTTGTGCAAAAGTACTACATTAGTAGGATCTTGGTTTGATTTGATTCCAAGCAAAATTTAAGATGTTGATAATTTAAAACTAGACTGACTGAATGACCATATTCTACTAGATGATTCTATGTATCATAAAATCGAGACCTTATATCAACATGTCCTGCCATTATTAGAGGTTTGTTTGGAACATGGAAGAAATCTCTTCCCCAAGGAAGACTACACTGATTGTCTTCTTAACATGTTTTAAATGAGAAACAAGGCATTTTGGGTTATATTCATCTGTACTTTGCTAGGTATTGGACAGATTTCAATTTGTTTAGTCACCAGTTTTCTTAGCTTTAATCATACCACACGATTGCTTTAACTTTTTTCAAATGCTTATTATTTGATGTAAAATATAAATTATCCTGCCTTGTGTGGATACTTTCCAGATATTTGGGCTTCAACATGATGCACCATCTTCCTGTAAGCTGTGATCTCTTCTAAGAAGGGAAATTCTAAGACTGGGTTTGCTCATCTTAAGCCAGTTTGCCTAACTGTATTTTACTGATTGAATTACAGTTGATAATTTCTTAATATTCCCTCATAAACTATAAATCACTGTCTGGGCTCACATATATTCTAAACCCAAACCAAACAAGCCATATTATTATCAAGATACTTAAAAAGGGGCTATAAATTTGCTCTTGCTTGACAAGTTGGGGCCACCCTCTTGATCTCAGCTGTTCCCATGATATCCTAGCACTTGACATTACAATTTCAGTTCAATGAAAGGACTAGGAATCTTCTGACACAATTGATTGTGTAGAATCTCAAGAGTCTTTCTATTTGTTTCTCAATCAGTCTGTTTCTTAAAACTCTAAGGCATACAATATTTGGTTATGACTGTCCTTATATCAGCTTTAAGATGTTCTATCAATTCTCCTTAGTTGAAAAGGGGAAAAAAGTTGTTAGAGTAAAATTTTAACTGGCTGCTTGTGAGAACTCCACATAAATTGTATATTGAAATGTATAACCAAATATAAATTATTAAAAGAGCATATCCACCTTATTTCCTGGCCACTGAAACACCATTTAAATTCTCTGGTTCTTTGTCAAAATAATCTGCTATAAATGTACTGCTTCCTTCTACAGAATTCTATTTTCCTCATTCCTGTATGATTTTCTACTACTGTGTAGTAAATACTTTCATGTTGCATGTCTTTTGTTAAGATTGTCACAACTGGTTTAATTGTACATACAGAAAAGTCTTCAGCAACATATAATATAGTGTGTTGCATAAGCATTTGTCTAGTAAATTCTTTACTTCCTTTTGTTTCTGATTTAACTTCACTGTATGATCTCAGTTCATTCAAGTATCTATGAAAGGCAATGCAGTAAATTTCTCTACCACTCTCTGGACTGCAGCAGTTAAACAGGTACGTTTGTCTGTTGCCAAAACTATAGTCTATTGTTACCTTAAAAGCCAGCAGATTTATTATTACACAGTTACATGGACAAAAGGTCACACAGAAGATACATCACACGTTATTTAATTAGAGGATACAGAGCCATAGAAAAGAAGAGAGAACTGGAAAAAAACAAATACTAAGTATAATGAAGCACCCATGGGTGTGAGTGGGTGTGTCACAGTACATTTACAAAGTTCAACTAGATATAAAAGTGAGTAATATAGTTGCAATCACTGATCAGTGATTATTAGTAACTATAATTGTAAACAAGTTTTGATTAATTCATAAGTTTAGATTCTCAAATGTCATAATCAATACATTTTACACTGAACCGTTTACAAGTTTTTATAGATATGTCTGCATGCATGCAGTAATTCAGGCATGATCTGCAAACGGACTGTAATACTGGAAAGAACTAAGAAATTGATGGAACTAAGATTTGTAGATCACTGATTTTATCATTGATACCTCAATTATATGAAACACTAAATAGCTTTTATTAAAACCAAACTGAAAAGAAAGCAGCACGCATGCACACATACACCCACCACCATGCTTAAGTTAAAGCCTTATGATAAAAGCAACACACACATTTGCAACATGCTAAAAAGCCATACATTTATTGCGGCGTAATCTTTCAAAGACCAGACCCTGGCTTATCACAAGCTGGAAGTTAAATACAGTAAAGTGAGTTTAGAGACCACAACAACTGCTCCTGGGAAATAAGGAAAAAACGCAAAGGATTAAAAAAAATGTGTATTTTGTTTTCCGTCAATGCCGAGACAATACTTAGCAACAGTGCCGGCAGCCGCTGTGCTTCCTTATCTTCTCACCTGCTTGTTGGCCCGGATCCCCCTCTAACGTCCCTCCACCACGCCCCAATTCACCTTCCCTTCGGTTACCTGGTTGGCGACGTCGGCAGGCAGCCCGCGAATGAGCACCTTGCGTCGGTTACGGAATTGTCGGGCGCTTCTTTCCAGACGACCCGCTATTTCGGTCGGTTCCAAGGGCGGCAATACCTCTTCAGGGGCGTTGGCCGAGCCTGCATCTGGGCCTGGAAGCGACCCAGAAGAGGCGGATGCCCCATCAACTACCCCACCAAAAGCCACTGCTGCCGCCATCTTGGGAAGCAACTGCCCCCTTCCAGCTCCACCACCTCACAAGCAAACCCCAGCGGCAGAGGGAGGTGGGAAAGAATGGCGTCAGTCTCATGCCAGCCCCCCCCATTGGTCCTGGAGTTCCCCGCCCAACTCCCGGACAGCCGTTAGATGGGTTGTCCAATGAGAAGCTTGAGTGTGAATTAACCCTTCACAGAATTGAGTAAAGGGGCGGCGCTCGATCCTGCCCGGTCCTGAGGCGTGTTCGCTGCTTAGCTGATTTTGATTGAAATCTGGACGGCAGCAAAAGGGGTCAGAGAAATAGAAGTGCGGGTGGATTGGGCGGAAGTGAAAAGGGGAAACATAGCCACTCGTGTTAGGACAATTTTGTGCATCATCTAAGTGGCCTAGAAGGTCAGCCGTATTCGTTTTTGCAGGAGAACCACCGAGGCTCGTGATACTCTAGTGACTTGCTGTTAACATGCAAGAAGAGTATTAATTATGGGAAGGAAATAATGGCATCACATCTTCGGCATATTAAGATATAGGGCTATTTCGAGGAAGCCTGCCTTGAGGTATGATATTTAATAGATCGAATTATATAGAGTGGCATAAAAATCCGGACGCCGACTAGATGGCAGCAAAGAAAAAATATATAGCGGTCTCGATGTTTGCTAAAATTATAGTAGGTTAGCAGGAATCATATCAAATGTCACCCATAAATATTTTAACTGTTCAGTACCAGTAACAAATCAATACTCACGAAGCAAATGTTAGTGATTTGATTATAGCTTTTGGGATTGGATTTTGGCAACCCAATTACTTCCCTTTTGGCAAAGATTGGTGCTATTCTTTATATCAAAGAGATCCTTACAACATCCTAATTTTAGACCAGATCTCTCTCCCCCCCCACACACACACACAGTGACATCCAGCAGTTAGGTAAGAGGGACAAGCATATAATTCAGCAGAATTTGCCCAAATATCTCATCTACCTCCTTGCAATTCAAAATTGAAACACATCTAACTGAACTAGGTGGAAGAAGGAACACTCAATATACTTTGAGTATGAACCATTCTGAAACCAGCACCGCCTTTTGAGGTTCAGATCATGAAACATTTTTTTAAAATTTATTCCAAGTATGAAACAAGTTGGCTCTTATTTATATTAACTCTGGAGATACTGTTAAGGAATATTAGACAAAACAATGAAATACGCGGACTGGTAATTAGGAATGAAATCTTCAAAATTCAAGCTTTCGCTGACGATGTAGCGTCGATTATGGAGGACCCGTTAACGACTGGGCCAAAGGTATTGAAAGAGATAGACGAGTACGGGAAGTTATCTGGATTTAAATTAAATATGACAAAAACTAAAATGTTAACAAAAAATATCCCGAAAAGAGAACAGGAAATATTAATAGAAAAATTGGGCATTCAAATAGTTAAAAGGATAAAGTATTTAGGGATATGGATTACCGCTAGATGCTCGACCTTGAAGGAGGACAATTATACGCCATTACTGACAAAAATCAAGCAAGATTTGGATCGTTGGGGGAAGCTACAAATATCGTTTCTAGGTAGGATAGCCACCATTAAGATGAGCATTCTCCCCAAATTAATATATTTGTTCCAAACCACTCCAATTAGCATTGACAAAAAATTCTTTTCGGATCTAAACATGATAGTAAGGAAATTCATTTGGGGAGGGAAAAAACTGAGAATTGCGTTACATTCTTTGCAAGAAAAAAGAAGTAAAGGTGGATTTGGGCTCCCAGTTTGGGAGATATACCACAGAGCTGCCAATTTAGTATGGGTACGAGAGTGGGCCACATTAAGTAACAAAAGAATTCTACAATTGGAAGGGCATGATCTGCTAAGAGGCTGGCATGCCTACCTTTGGGATAAAGGAAAGGGGGCAGGGATATGTTTCCACCGACACAAAATTAGAGATACATTAATGAAGACATGGAAAGAAATTAGGTGTAAACATTACTTTAAAATCCCAAAATGGATCTCTACAATGGAGGCAATGATCCACCCAAACACAATAAGCAGAGAGAAAATGTTTACGTACCAAGACATTTTAGATAACAGCGGCAACCTCAAATCTAATGAGACATTGAAAGAGCAAGGGATCCATATAGATTGGTGGCCCTATTTACAGATAAAATCCCGATACAGGAAAGATAAACAGGAAGAGGGAATAGAAGCGGGAACAAATAGCTTTGATAAGATATGGCTGGGCAATGAGAACAAATTATTAGCTAAATTATACTCCTATCTGCTCGAATATGATAGAGAAGGAGAAATACTCAAAGACCAAATGATTGCTTGGGGAAAAAATATTGATTCAAAGATAAATTTAGAAGATTGGGAAGAAATATGGAACAGCAATCTTAAATTGACAAGAGCAATAAGCTATAAGGAGAATCAGTACAAAATGCTGTATAGATGGCATTTAGCACCATCTAGAATTGCAAAGATCTATCCGAATGCAAGCCCCAAGTGCTGGAAATGCGGCCACCATCAAGGTACCTTCTACCATATGTGGTGGACGTGTCCGGAAGCAAGGAAATTCTGGAAAAAAATACAAAAATGGGTCCAAGAAATATTGAGGATATTAATTTTCTACCTGAAATCTATCTCCTGGGAGTGCTAAAAGGGAAATTTGTTAAGGAAAAGAAATATTTGATTATTCATATTGTCACAGCTGCCAGACTCTCCTATGCCAGTTGCTGGAAAGAGAAAGGATGCCCGACTGAGGAACAGATAGTCAATAAAGTATTGGACTGTACAGAAATGTGCAGATTAACGTATGTTTTAAATGGAAAGGAAGACTCAGAATTCTATACGATCTGGGATCTGTGGTATAGGTGGTTGAAAAATAAATGCAAAAGTTAACTCTCATTAGGACAATGTATAATTTTTAATTAATCTATATATTATTGTTGTATTATGTGTTCAATTTTACAAGGTTTACGTATAAACTGTATAATACCTAGATAATTGATTAGATTCCATATATGTAAATATACAAGATGACTACATGTTGCCGAACCGTAGAGTTTGAAATGTAATATATTCTTTACTCAATAAAATTTCATATATATATATAAAAAAAAGAAACAAGTTGGCTGTACTGAGAAACACATATTTGAAAGTGCAACTTCAAACCATTTCTACCTCAAAATAATCTTATTTTGACTTTTCCAGTACAAAGCAACATGTTTGGAGGGGACCCTGAGCATAAAACAAAACACATTTTCTATTTCATGTTCATCCTAAATTTTTTTGTCATTCGATTTCTGTATTGCCTCATTGACAATGAGTAATTTGAATATGCTATTCAAACTTTGACAGCATTGTTGCCAAAATCTTAGTATCTTTTTTTCCAGTTTATAGTTCTATCTCATCCCACCCCAAAAAATCCATGAGTGACATTTCACAATAAAATGAAGATATTAACTATGTATGTTAAATCACAACGTAGATTAGATGTTATTTTGGATTGACTGAAATTCAGTTTCAGACGAGTGGACAAGGTGGTAAAGGCATCAGGACCTTTTCCAGTTGCAGAAGAAACAAAGTAAGGAATAGCATCTGATTGCTTTTTCATAAATTGTAAGTAAATTGTAAATAAATTCTTTAAAATATGCTTTGATAACATTTTAACTATATTCTAGAATCGAGATTTTGAAGAAGCACTCTGCAGCAATTTGAAAGTTACATGGTATTTATTTGAACAAAACATGAAAGATACTACCAGGATATTACATTATTCTAAGCTGCTACTAGTCTAGGACAGAATAGATTCACATCAGAGCAGGTTCCAATGTAGAACACTCATGCTGTCTCCTCACACACTTTCTGAATTCACATATGCACGCACAGCAGCTTTAGAAACAGAAAAAGCAAGAGTGACTGAACTGAATTTGCCCATGCTTTTGTTGGAGGGATCCTTCTCCAAAATTTTCAGTGCAGTTCCAGATGCAAAAGGCACAATGCTGTGAAGTTTCTCAGTATACTGTATATGCCAAAGATAATTTCCCAGATAAGAATATCTGGAATTATTTTGTAATTATATAATTATTCCATATTCCAGAGCTTAGAGCTGGCACTTCAAGTTGTAGCTGTACCTCAAAATAGAGATAACAGAATAAAAGAATGAGTTGGAAGGGACTTTGCAAGGTCTCCTAGTCCAACTCCCTGCCCAAGCAGGAGATTCTGTAATTTTAAAGCCAGCACTCCAAGTGTAATAATGTTGCTGCATGTATGTTAGCCTTCAAAAAAAATAAATCTGATTGCCTCTGTGATGTTTGTAAACATGTTTGTGTTTTATAGCAAATCCTAAAGACTTGAAAACTAAAATAAATCGGGTCCAAAGATCCTGAAAGGGCCCACTGGAACAACTGACTATGCTAGTGGACTAAAATATTCTAGTTAATTTCTTGAAAGTATTCCAATGCATTGCAAACTGCTTTGAAAGCTTTTTTTTTTCACATCGAAAGCAGTTTTTCATGCACCATAGGGAAAAGAGAGAAGGCTGTTCAATAAATATATTTAAGGCTGCAATTGAATATACATATATTTAGCTCATTAAAATCAGTAAGGCTCGCTTCCAAGAAAGCATACTATTCAGTTTCTTTAATTATTTACATGTGCTAGAGATGGGAGGGATAAACAATTAAACTATAATTATCTTCTATGTGGAAGTCATGATATATAGGTAGTCTTTGACTTAACAACAGTTCATTTAGTGACCCAAGTTAGAATGGCATTGAAAAAAGTGACTCAGGACATTTTTCCACATTTATGACCATTGCAGCATTTCCATAGCCACGTGATTAAATTTCAAATGCTTGCCAACTGATTCATATTTATGCGACTGCAGTGTCCTGGGGTCATGTGATCACCTTTTGCAACCTTCTGACAAGCAAAGTCAATGGGGAAGCCCGATTCACTTAACAGCCATTGCAGTGATTCACTTAACAACTGTGGCAAGAAAGGTTGTAAAATGGGGCAAAATTCACATAACAACTGTCTCATTTAGCAACAGAACAACAGAAATTATGCACAAAGGTATTTTTTCTCATGTCTTACAAAAATAAGTTATGGATAAGAAAGACTCAGCATTAAGTATCTTAAAATATTCTCTCTGTCTTCAGTTCTGAGCAAATGAGAATTGGAACCATTTATGGATACCAGTTAAACGTTTCTGGGCAAAAATAAGCAATTTTTCAATAGACATCCAGACCTTGGTTATCAATGGAGACCAAGTGGAGCAAGTGGCCAGTTTTAAGTTTTTGGATGTTATCACAAAAGAGGACCTGACCTGAGGCGGTCACATTGCAGCACTGGTCAAAAGGGCCCAGCAGAGACTTCTCAGGAAACAACTGAATGAAAAATTGCTGGTGACTTTCTACCGCTGCACTATAGAGTATTTTAACTTACTGCACCTGTGTATGGTTTGCTAATTGCACAGTGGCAGATAGGACAGCGCTCCAGAGGGTTAACGTCATTGCCCTCTCCCCTCTTTGGAACAGCTTTATAGCTCCCGCTGCCTTAAGAAAGTTCAAAACATTTTTAAAGATCCATCTCATCCTGGGCACTCTTTTTAAAAATTATCTGGCAGACGGTACAGGACAATAAAAACAAGGACAATTAGGCTGAAAATTAGGCTCTCCATCCCAGAGCATAATTATATTGAATTCTACTGTATAGTATAATACTAATGCAGTATCAGGGATTTTCAATTCAATTGTATAAAATGTGAAGGATGTGTGTTTTTGTTTTATTTTTATAGTTTTTGTATGTATGATGTACACTGAAGATGGCATTTAATTTCGTTGTACGAGGTGCAATGACAATAAAGTAAACTAAATAACTTACAGGAATCCTATCTATTTCTCTTCATCACTTTCTTAATAGTATACTTCAAATCAAATGGCAACCTGAAAGAAATGATTGCTTCTTTAAAAAAAGCACAACGATGATAGAATGCTGAAGAATAAGCAGTCACCTCAAATATTCATAGCTCAAAGACACTGACTAGTATGGCAAAGCTAATAAACAAACTGTTTTACATCACCCTGCTTATTATAATTGCATAAATACTTTATTCTGACATTCTTTAGAAATGAGCTGTATGGAGGCCAATGTGACTATGACTAGAATCTCTCCTCTTCTATAAGGCAATAAAATTGCTCTAAAGTGATAACGGGTGAGACAGGCTCAACAATGCAATCTCAGATTGGTAAAACATGGCAAAAATCAACCCCCACTTACAAAAAGCCAGGAAATCAGAAATACATGTTAGCAAGAAATCAGTACTAAAAGCATTGGGTGTACTAACTGCAATGCATCAAGATTTATATCACCTAGAGCACAGGTGTCAAACTTGCCACGCCACATTGCCATCATGTGACATATTGCAACATTTACCCCTTCACGGAGCTGAGGTGGGCATGGCCTGCATGTGATGTATCTGGCCCGTGGGCCACCAGTGTGACACCCTGACTTAGAGCCTGCCGTTTCACTCCCAACAAATTCTAATGAAAAATGAAATTCAATGAAAAGATGAAATTCATTTGAAAGATAATTTGTGGAGAACAACCTGAAGATTCACAATGAAAACAATTGCTCCAATTAATTAGAAAGCAAGATGATAGTACAACAGGGAAGAGGAATCACAATTGTTCTGAGGTTATATGGCAGCTAGTTTTTTCCCCAGGATATGGGATTACCAGCTCAGGCTACCTTTATTTTGCTACATAAAGCTTACATGTCAGAAGGTAGCAACTAGTTAGTGACCAAAAGGCATTTCTTGTCTTCATTTTCAGTATTATTTAAGGCCTATAGTTTCTTTCCAATTCAAATTCAAAGTTTTTGATTGGCAAACATCAGGCGATTGGTGGTGGTGAAGTTTTGAGATTGGTCACTTCAAACCAATAATGGTTTGGGAAATGGTTCTCAACCCAAGAAAAGATACAGTTGTTTTATACCATTTAAAAGAAAAGATGAGTTGTTAGAAAATTCAAAGGGAAGCATAGCATCAGCTGCAAATCCCCATTAGTGGAAATTCTTGATTCATCCGTCTGGGAGACAGTAAGGATTGCTCTTTGGAAACAGACATGATCAGATATTTACTTTTCTAGCATTGTCGGCTAAAGGTGCTTCTGATTCACATAGGCAGATGAGGGACCTTTACCAAGTAGATGTGCATATAATGCTATACTATGGGTGATAAAGAGATGTAAAAAGAGTGATTGAGGAATAAATGCCAGGTTAGAAAAATGTATTTCCTTGTAAAGATGCTGCAAATAAAGGCCAGATGCCTTTCATTCTGTTGGTAAGCAGTTCTATGTGATACAACAGGTTTTTCAAATAGCAAGTGAAAATATTGCATTCCATTTTCAGGGTTCCTTGAATTACAGATTCATACTCTGCATTGGACCATACGCTCAAGAGTCCATTAAATGCATTAGATACCAACTTGTTTTCCTGTACAAGAATATCTCATAATGAGACTTTACAAATGACTTGCATCCCAGCTGGATGTAGCAAAGGACAAAGTTTCATAAGCAGCTTCTGCCTTTCAGCTAAACAAAAAAATTGAATGGGCTTTTCCTTATGCCCCATCACATTTGAAACGTGCAAAAAAATTCAGACAATTCAGGGACACTGCGCAGAACAGCAAAAGTCAGAATCCAAGATCGCTGTCACTTGGAAGCAACTTTCATGGCACTGTGGCTTTCCAGACATGTAAGCACTAGCACACAAAGTGCAAATAAGACTTTGGTCTTTGGTACAAAATATCTTCATTCTCATCAACACACACTGAAAACTGAAGGAGCCTGGGTCTTGTACTTTTCATGGAAGGCTTTGAGAATGGGTACTAGGTTTGAAAAGGCTGGACGGAATGAAGCTTCAGATTCCCAACAGTTTTTCATGAGACGATAAATCTGTGGGAAAAGGCACAGATTTAGAAAACAAAAAAGCACACACAATACAAAAGGGAAGGGAGGAAAGGAAAAGAAAGAAAGAAAGAAAGAAAGAAAGAAAGAAAGAAAGAAAGAAAGAAAGAAAGAAAGAAAGAAAGAAAAGAGAGAGAGAGAGAGAGAAAGAGAGAGAGAAAAAGAAAAAGAAAGAAAAGGAAAGAGAAAGAGAAAGAAAGAAAGAAAGCTCAGCAAACTGTCCAATACATATGTGGCATTGCTCTACTGGTAAACCTAACCAGCTCCCCTCCCATCAACTTGTTTTCTAGACTCCAAGCTAGCTAAAAAAAAAAAAAGAAAGAAAATCAGAGATCAATATACGACAGAGACACTCTTACAGTTACACTATTCTGCAGTTTCTGCTCTAAAAACTAATGGGTAAATTAGTAAGCACCGGGAGATATTGGATGTCTCTTAAACTTCCAAAACAAATTATTCGCAGCATTAACTGCTCTGGAATACAAAGACTACACTTTCTAATCAGAACTAATGTAATTGTACCTATATATTTACACAGTTGTTTATAGAAAATTGAGATATAAAGTATTTAACATGAAAGCTTTAACCTTTAGGAATTATTTAATTTAAATCAGGAAGCATCCTCAAATTACAGTAAACCATCTGAAGGAGTGAGAACATGTTCAGACATTAGCTAGTATTATAAATTATTGGAAGATTTACCAGAATTATGCTCTATTATTTTTGAAGAAATCTGAATATAAGAATACAGTGCAATACCATTTACCTGGGATTAAGGCTCACTGAATCAATGGGATTTCTAAGAAGGTGGGCACAGAATTACACAGTAAGTAATGCAGCATTATTTGTGGAAACTAAAAAGATTGCAGCAAGGGTATTTATAGAATACTCTTAACATGCTTCTAATGTATCACAGACTTTTCCTTTGCTTACTATTATATATCATTATCTTCTAAAATGTATCCCTAGCACTCATCCTTTATCCATTTAAATATTAATCAATAATTCTGATTGCATATCTAGCTATCAGACATGAATTTGCATTGCCTACTGTTGGTTCTTTTGACTATTTAAGCTTAGAATGGGAAGTGTCTTGAGTGTAATCCTTGATTCCATAATTTTCAATAATATACTGTTTTCTAAACCTTTAGGAGATACTACAAAGATGAGCAATATAGTTATCTTAATTTTGTTTGGGAGCTCTGGATGCAGCAAAATGTCGAAATCCCCAGACTACAATTTCTACAACAAAAAGGCAATCAAAAGCAAAGGAGAACAGACTCACCTCACAAGGGCAGTCTTTTGGACTGGGAAGCCTTTCCCCTCTGTCCAACAGCTCAATTAGCCGCAGCACTGTCATCTGACCCTGAGTCATTCCAATCATCTCAATAAATCTCTACAGCAATATGGGAAAATCAGTCAGTGCTTTCATTAGGTAACATGAAGATGGCACATGCCAAAAGTTCCTTTTTTCAAAAAAACTTTACAATGAACCTGTACACATTTTTTTTCTGAGGCAACAAATGATTGAGAAAAATCATTTCAGAAAAATAATTACATTCTAAACATATTGAATGATGGAGCATTCAGTCAGTCAGAAGGTTCTAAAAACATACCAAAATAATATTGCATCATGCTATACCATTCTTGTAAATCATTATAACTGAAAAATATATGCAATAGCATTGTGTGATGCTATTAGCCGTTAGGCCAGCATGGACTTCAGCATCCTTAGGTAACTGACTATAATTCAATGAGTAATCAACGTAGTCAATGAGTAGTCCTTAATGGTACCACATCTACATGGAGGGAAGTAAGCAGTTAGGTACCACAAGGTTCTGTCTTAGGCCCAGTACTCCAGTATCTTCATAAATGGTGAGGGAATTCACCTAAGGGTGAAGGGAACTCATTACTCGACTGAAGACCTGGTGGCCGCTTGGGATAGTGCGGCCACAGGGGCTTTGGACCGCGTCGTGCCTTTGTGGCCTCTGACCCGATGCCAATCTCAATTGGCTCCTTGGTTCTTCAAGGAGCTGAGAGAGATGAAGTGTCAGAAAAGACGCCTAGAGAGTGTTTGGAGGACTAGTCAATCCGAATCTGACCGGACACAGGTGAGGTCTTATATCAAGACCTACCTAGTGGTGATAAAAGCGGCAAAATCTAACTATTTTCCCGCTCTTATCACATCTGCAAAGAACTGCTCAGCCACTCTGTTTAGGGTGACCCACTCCCTCCTTCGGGTGGAAGTGCGGGAAGATCCCTTGCAGGGTCGAACTGAGAATTTTGTGCAATTCCTGCATGATAAAGTCACTCAGATTCGGGAAGGCTTGGACTCCGACTGGGTGAGTCCGTGGAGGGAGACGGGGATGAGTCTTGAGAATATTATCTGGGAAGAGTTTGACCCAGTGGCTCCTGAGGACGTGGACAGGATTCTGGGTGGGCTTAGTGCTGCCACATGTTTATTGGACCCGTGTCCCTCCTGGTTGGTACTGGCCTCCCGGGAGGTTACATGAGGCTGGCTCCAGGGGATTATTAACACTTCTTTGAGTGAGGGTGCTTTTCCCACCGCCTTGAAAGAGGCAGTGGTGAGGCCCCTCCTCAAGAAGCTATCCCTGGACCCGGCTGTATTAGCAAATTACCATCCGGTCTCCAACCTTCATTTTGTGGAGAAGGTTGTCGAGAGTGTGGTGGCACGACAGCTACCCCGGTATCTGGAGGAAGCTTTCTATCTGGACCCGTACCAGTCGGGCTTCAGGCAGGGGTACAGCACAGAAATTGCATTGGTTGATGATCTCTGGAGGGCTCGGGACAGGGGTTGCTCCTCTGTCCTGGTCCTATTAGATCTCTCAGAGGCTTTTGATACCACCGACCATGGTATCATGCTGCAGCGGTTGAGGGGGTTAGGAATTGTTACAGTGGTTCTCCTCCTACCTCTCCGACCGCTCGCAGTTTGTGTTGGCAGGGGGGCAGAGGTCGACCTTGAGGCGCCTCGCTTGGGGAGTGCCACAAGGGTCGGTCCTCTCGCCCCTTCTGTTCAACATTTATGTGAAGCCGCTGGGTGAGATCATCCGTGGTTTGGGGGTGAGAGTCCATCAGTACACTGATGACACCCAGCTGTACATCTCCACCCCAGACCACCCCAATGATGCCCTTGATGTGTTGTCCCGCTGCCTGGAGGCCGTGCGGGTCTGGATGCGGAGAAATAGGCTCAAGCTCAACCCTTCCAAGACTGAGTGGCTGTGGCTTCCGGCGTCCTGGTATAGTCAGCTGGTGCCATCGCTGACTATTGGGGGTGAATCTTTGCCCCCCACAGAGAGGGCTCGCAATCTGGGTGTCCTCCTGGACTCACGGCTGTCTTTAGAAGAGCATATGACGGCCGTAGCCAGGGGGGCTTTTTATCAGGTTCGCCTGATCCACCAGTTGCGTCCCTTTCTGGACCGGGAAGCCTTGCGCACGGTCACTCACGCCCTCGTCACCTCCTGTCTGGACTATTGTAATGCTCTCTACATGGGGCTCCCCTTGAAGAGCACTCGGAGGCTCCAACTGGTCCAGAATGCGGCCGCGCGGGTGGTTATGGGCGCACTTCATTACGCCCATGTAACACCTCTCCTGTGCAAGCTGCACTGGCTCCCAGTGGTCTTCCGGGTGCAATTCAAGGTGTTGGTCACCACCTTTAAAGCGCTCCATGGCATAGGACCAGGATATTTATGGGACCGCCTTCTGCCACCAATAGCCTCCCACTGACCAGTCCGCTCCCACAGAGAGGGACTCCTCAGGGTACTGTCGGCCAAGTTATGTCGGCTGGTGATACCCAGGAAGAGAGCCTTCTCTATCGGAGCTCCTGCCCTTTGGAATGAATTCCCCCGGATATTCGTAACATCTCTGACCTCCGGGTCTTTCGCTGTGCCCTCAAGACCCTACTGTTCCGACAGGCGGGGCTGTCTAATTGAATGATTTTAAATTGGGTTTTAATATTGGGTTTTAAAAATTTGGCCGAAACTATTTAATGATTATAATTAATTTTAACTATGATCTTGTATATTTATGTTTTTAATGTTGGCTGTACACCGCCCCAACTCCTTCGGGAGAAGGGTGGTATAAAAATAAAATTATTATTATTATTATCATTATTGTTGTTGTTGTTGTTGTTATTATTATTATTATTAAATTTACAGATGATACTAAGCTGGCAGGAATAGCAATACCCCAGAGGACAAGCTTAGGATCCAAAAACATCTTGATAGACTTGAACAATGGGCCCTATCCAACAAAATGAAATTTAATGTGGAGAAAAGCAAGGTTTTACACCTGGGCAGGAAAAACCAAAAGTACAAGTATAGATTAAGCAAAACCTGGCTCAAAAACAGTAACGGTGAGGGGGACTTTGGAATCCTAGTGGACGATCACTTAAACATGACACAGCAGTGTGCAGCAGCAGTCAAAAAAGGTAATATAATCCTTGGTTGTATAAACAGAGGCATAGAATCAAAATCATGTGAAGTATTAGTACCATTTTATAAAGTCTTAGTAAGGCCATACCACGAATACTGCATCCAGTTTACCACATTACAAAAAAGATGTTGAGACTTTGAAAAAAGTACAAAGAAGAGCAACTAAGATGATTAAAGGCCTGGAGACTAACATATGAAGAATGGTGGCAGGATTTGCGTTTGGCTAGTCTAGAGAAAAGAAGGACTTGGGTGACATGATAGCAGCATTCCAGTATTTGAGAGGTTGCCACAAAGAGGAGGGGGTCAATTTATTTTCCAACGCACCAGAGGGCAGGACAAGAAACAATGGATGGAAACTAATTAAGGAGAGAACTTGGAATTAAGGAGAAACTTCCTAACATCGAGGACAATTAACCAGTGGAACAGCTTGCCTTCAGAAGTTGTGGGTGCTTCATCGCTGGAGGTTTTTAAGAAGAAGGTCTTAAACTGGATAGTCACTTGTCTGAAATGGTTTCCTGCTTGAGCAGGCAGCTGGACTAGAAGACCTACGAGGTCCCTTCCAACTCTATTCTGATTCAACTAAAGATAACTAAATCTAACCAACATCCTAGATCAGTGGTCACCAACTGGTGGTCCGTGGACCACTGGTGGTCCGCAAGAAAATTTTGGTGGTCCACATAAAAATTATTTGCATTTTTTATATTGCACTAAATCAGGGTTCCCTAGGCCGGATATGTGCAATGAATGTTTGTGTTGCTGCAGAGAGTCTCCCCCTTCAGGGTCTTTTTGTGTGGGTCGGAGGGGGGCAGAAATTCCAATTTGGGGTCTGCTTCAGCCTGCTGGTGCAGGGCTTTGGGCGAAGAGCCAGAGGGAAGAGCCACTGGTGGCGAAGAGCCAGAGGGCCTTGTTCCAGTGGGGCAGCATCATGACCAGGAACTGGCTGACCATGTCAGCCCGCTGAGCCTCTCAGCGCCTACACCTGGCTTTGCACTCCTGCAAGTCTTCCCTCTGATTGGAAAGCCTATGCTCATAGTTCTCAGTGAGGTGCTTCTACTGAGCCTCCTTCTTGGTCAGATCCAATTTGAACTGAGCTGTTTTGCTAACTCTTTCTCATGGTGGCTGCTTAACTCCAGCAAGTGCTTCGGGTGGGCAGGTGAATAGTAGCGAGTAGAGACTGGCAAGGTACCCCTCAATGTGAGTTGGCCACGCATCGAGTTGGCTATGCCCATCCAGTCACATGACCACCTAGCCACGTCCACCCAGCTGGTCATTAGGCAGATCATATTAGTGGTCCGCGGGATTTAAAATTATGAATTTAGTGGTCCCTGACGTCTGAAAGGTTGGTGACCTCTCCTTTGGAGAATAGATTGACCAATTCTTTGTGGCAGCCCCTTGGATATTGGAACACTGCTAGTCTTTCTTTTCATTAAACTAGACATACCCAATTCCTGCAACGATTCTTCATGGATGCTATGGCTTGTTGCTGCTAAGTAAATGTTATGAATATTAATTTTACTCACTTGTGGAGGGCTCTGACTTGAATCACACCATGTCAACAGTTCATATAAAGTCACTCCAAAGGACCAGACATCAGAAGCATAATAGAATTTACATTCCTTGAGGCATTCCACAGCATACCTATGTAAATAGCAATAAAGAGCTGACAAACTACATCTTAATTAGAGTGAAGTTCATCTAGCTCCTTTTAAATTATCCAACAGCAGCCAAATGGCTTTGAAAATTGTCAAACAGGGCATTTACAACTCAATTTTAACTGTAAGATTGTAATCCTTCTTTTCCAAAGCATTCTTCTATATAAAAGCATGCAGTTATCATCATTCACTCCAATTATTGGAAACAAGATACAATAGTCGACTGCTTCCAAGAAAGCTGGGAACGTTATCCCCTCCCACCTCCACAAGAGTATCAGAATTAAATCACACTAAATTCTGTCTGAAATCTTCATTTCAGATTTTACCTTTTCCCTCTCAGCACTTAGACAGGAAGATACTGTTTTAAGGCTACTATCTTTTCTCCATTATCATTAAGATCATTAAGGCATGATATAATGCCTGTATGAATGAGCTATAGTGCAGTCAACTCTCTCAAATATCAAAAATCCATAAAATAGTGCAATTGTTTACATACCAGAAGACGGGGCTGTCTCCATCTTCACAGACACGATAATATTCATGTCCTTCAGGGATGGCTTTGGCAAGACCAAAGTCTCCAATCTTTACTACATTCTCATTCTCTAGGAGCACATTTCTAGCTGCAAGGTCTCTGTGGATGTAGTGCAGGGAGTGGAGATAAGCCATTCCCTGCAGAGAAAATAGAGCCACCTTACATTCTTCAATCAGAGGCCAAAGCAATCAGTAGATATGTCTATACCCAAAGGCAGAACTGGCAATCCTGAATTTCATGTATCCTTTTATAAAAATAAAATACTTTCCCAGCATTAAGGAACAATTATGTAAACAATTCTCTTCATTTTGCTTTACCTATTGGAACTATGATCAAAGAAAAAGGCATTCCCTCAGTCGAGAACCACACAAATGTTGTATCCAACACTGACTAGACTTTACCTCACAAATCTGTTGGGCAAAGAGGAGAATGTGGGCCAAGCTGACATTGTGCTTGGGAAGATAATCCCTCAGACTTCCCAGTGGCACATATTCCATGATAAGCTGCACAATCTTTTCTCCTGGAATTGAAAAATGCAAGAAATATTAGCTCAAAAAAAGTATCAACGCTTCCCCTAATTTATTTGGTCTTTAAAACACCTAGCTTAAACAAAGCGCACATGCAGGGCCTGCAGACCACATTTGATCATCAGTATCTTTTGGGCAGTTCATCAGGCCTACTTGCAATACAGTAGTCATTTCTCCCCCCTGCTGATTCTGCATGCTTTCTCTTGCCACATTAAGAGAACCTGCCTTGCTGCCAATGTAGCTAAGACACTCCAGAGAATCTATTATAATTCGGCAGATTCAGCAATTATCTTTCTGAGATATTTGTTTTTAAGATGATTTACCGGTAGCTATTAATAAAGAAGAAACAATGGATTAGACTGGTTGAAGGAGAAACTATAACCTAAGTGAGGGTGAGAAAAAATGGCTGAATAAATGGGCAGAAAGTATAGTCTGCATGCACAAGATATATTGTCCGCTCATATAGGAATGCAACCCTAAAAGCGTTGCCCAATATGCAAGTTAAATTATAGAGGCTATTTCAAAAATCATGCCTATGATGAAGCTAGGATACAAACTGGGAACTCTTGAGACTAGTTCTGTAAGTAGCATGTTTATGCTAAACTATCCACCATCTTGCTCCTGCAGGAGCTACTCAGCAGATTCCATACCTTGCTCGCTGCAGCAGCCTTTGTATTTTACAATATTCTCATGGTAGAGTGTCTTCAAGATCTCGATCTCCTTTTTCCAACTAGTCAAGAGCTGCTGGCTGCAACCTGATTTCAATGATTTCACTGCTACCATCTCACCAGTGCCATCATTGGCAGGATCATAACAATACAGGCTCACTTTACCAAAGTGGCCCTAATAGAATGAGAGGGAGAAAGAAACAAGGTAAGGATTTTGAATTTCAAAAGCCAATGCCAAACTATATTTCTTTGGGAACTTTTGCTACAACTGTCAGGATGTACAGAACACCTTTCAGAAGAACTAATCTCAATAATCTCAGAACAATTCCTTGCTACATACAAGTCAAGGAATATTTCACTCAGTTGTTACGCTGTGAAAAGAAAACACCGACTTTCACAATCAAGTGAATATTTCTTTTTCTCCATTCTTGAATCTTTTTATGATTGAAGTTAATCTCTATTTGTGATCCTATTTCATAGTTCATGTAGCTGATATTAAGCAAAATAGGCTCAATCAGCAAAGTAAGGTCATTATTTGAAATTGGCAAAACTATGGAGCAAATATTGAATTGAAGCCAAGGGGAAAGAACATCTGAATGGATATGTTGCACATGAACATATGTGAAATGAAAATATAGTTTCATATTTAACTCAAAACAGGTTGAATGGTGATTTTGGAAACTACAATTTGGCATGATAAGTAAAATAATAAAATTATGTTTTGTAATTAACAAAAAAAAACAAAAGCCAGGATTTGTAGTAGGTTTATGAACTATAGGTCTGCTTCATTTTCAATGAACCTTTCATTGAGCCCTATAAGATATAATCATAGTAAAAACCTCATTTTCACAGATTAACTGTTGGTGGGAGGTGTCTATTATGCTTCAGAAATCAATAAAGCATTGTGACAGTACAAATGGCATCAATTACATCTTTGTTTTATTAGTGTAATGATATTAATGTGAGGACTCAGAAACTAGTGTGAGGACCCAGATTGTTGGGGGCAATATACTGCCTCTGTAAAACCACTTAGAGAGGGCTGAAAAGCACTAAGAAGTGGTATATGTTTAAGTTCTATTGCTATCATTACATAAATGGGAAAAATTGATGCAAATGATATAATTTGGAACATTCACAACTACATCCTTTGGTATACTATGGCATTATCTGCACACAAATAATGTAAATTACAATATGACTCATTACATGCAAAGTTCATAGGTCTGAGATCTGTAAAACTGAATTTCATTGAACTGAACTAGACAAAAAGTATTAAGCACCCAAGAAGTGCTAAATTATATCTTTCTAGAGTGCTGGAAAATAAAACTATGTTTGTTTCTAAAGAAGGTGATCACTAATGGTAGCAGCAGTGTTACAAATTGTATCTCTTTTGACTGATATGAAGAGAATATTTAGGAACTCATACTCTATCCTGCATGTGATGGGATAGTAGACTGTATCTGCCAATCAAATAAAGATGGTGCTAAAATGCCTTATCAGCAGCTACACATTTGGTTTTAATATGGGATGGGAGCTGAACAAAAGAATCCTAAATATGTACATTTGTAAATGTTATAGCATTATTCTTAATATTTGCTTAACATTACACTGATACAGTTGTAGCTAACACTGAGCATAATTCCATTTCCCTGTTATATATTCACTGAATATATCTTTGTTTTATTGCTTCTTAAAAGATAGCAAACTATATTTGCTTCTTAAAATGAAGGTATGCAATACATTTGATCCTCAATATACAGATACAAAAAGTTAATTGCAGGAACAGATTTAAAAAATCACAATGGGAATCATCTGTTTCAGCTTTTACTTTTTAAGAATGGAGGAAGAAAATAAGTTGTTATTCCTAACAAAGGCAATTTACCTCACCCAGATCTCGAATCTTTTTCAGGTAGCGCTTCTGAAAGACAGTAGGATCTGATACAGGGAACGCAGGATTCACAGAGCTAATGTCAAGAGGATCTGGAAAACAAGAAGAAAGATGTAGTGGATGTAAAATGGCTAGAAGGGAAGAAACTTACAAAGCACTCTTAGGAAGCGTATAGCATACAGATCAGAAGAGGCTTTTATTGGAATTTAATACTGAAGGACTAAATGCTCATAATTTTCTATTCTCTCTTTGAGTCAAACAAATTTCTAGATTTGACTAAACACTGTACAATCTCTTTCTCTAGTTTTTATTGTTTAGTTTTTCTCTCGCTGGTATTGCAATTTAAGCAGTTGTAATTGGGCCACAAATTGAGTCTCTGCTTATCCTCATAGCATCTTAATTGAGCCTGCTTTACAGTTGTTCTCTTGTATCCACAAAAGGGGGTGAGAGAACACCATTATGTTATACACAACAGAGATTGCTCTCATTTTGCAACCACTGGAGCACCTATCCACCATGCTGTCAGTATTCAGTGACATGTTTGTCATTTTGTTTAAATGAACAAAGAAACAGCGGGTGTATACAATTTCTTCTAACCATAATGCACCTAATTTTCCTTTTCAAAAAAGTTGGGAACACAACTCCTCTGGGAACACACTGTCATGAGCCTAATGGACCCCATTATTTTTAGCATGGCCCTGGCATGCAGAAAGGTTGGTGTCATGTGGCTAACAAAATGCTGTTATCCAAGAGTTCTTTGGAATTTTTACTATGTGGCTGCAGTTGAGTGAGGTCTCGTAAGATAGTCCGGAAAGAGGGTCGCTCTCCATGAGCATAGTTTAGGCACTGGCTGATTAGGGTAGCTAGTTCTTTGAAGGATGGCTCTGGAAGATGATGCTTCTTCTCATAAAAACGTTCTTTCTGCAGAAAAAAAAATAGAAGCCTATGATTGATATTACCAAATGAAATTAGATTAAACATAGAAAATCCACTCACATTTCCTTTGTAATAAGTTATTTCTGGTCTTCACTGTATGCCAAACAGCTTTCAAATAAGATCTAGATGCCTAATGATTACAGTTAGGTTTTTAAATTGGTCATAAAAATCTCCCTGCTATCTTGGAATCCTACTTCTATCACTCCTCTTCTATTATTTCTGTTAGTGCATTTTAAGAATACCCTAGGAGCTATTCCATTCCAATAATTTACCTGGAAATGGGGTGCAAATTATATTATTGTTACTTAGCCCTTTCAGACTTTTCAGGAGCCAATGAATGTACAGTAATTTCTCCAGGATGGTCTATCAGTAACTTTTTAAATTTTTTCTAAACTCATGATTGTGCCATCAATGACTGTGCCTAGTCACTTTGTCCTCTGCCATCTCTTTTCTGATCGCCTTCAGTTCTTCAAGCATCAGGTTTTTCTTCAATGATTCTTATCTTTGCATTATGTGGCCCAAATATTTACACTTTAGCTTCATTATCAGTGTTTCTGTATGTAGTCGGTAACATTGAATAAATTGTTCTTTTGTAGTCCAAGATCCACCATATTTTTCTCCGGCACCATTATTCAAATTATTCTGTGTTCTGATGGTCAAGTTTTCATAGAAAACCATAACCTTGTACCTGTGATATCTGAGTGATATAGCTACACTTTCATATTTTGTCTAGCACTATCATAATATTTCTCAAAAGTAGCAGATATTTTATTTCATAGCTATATGACTATCCATATAAATTTTTGAATCTAAGAAGATAAAGTTGTTAGTACTTCAACTTCTCAAGCTATTAGCATCAAACTAGGATTTCTTGCTGACATAAACTTGGTTTTTATTATTTGTTTTATTACAGCTTGTGCACTTTCTTCTTTCATCTACAAGAAGAGATTCTTTAAGTCATCCATCACTTTCAGCTATCAAAGTACTATCATCAACATATCTGAGGTTAATGCTTCCCAGCAATTTTAATTAACATATTTTTTCTTGTGCGCTACTTCTGTCTAAGAGCTACAGTGTAATTAAAGCAGCAATTCTATGTCCTTTATTTGGAAATATGCAAAGCGGAACTCAGTAGAATATTTCTTTGTTTTATTCAACCACTTTAATTTCACCAATCTTATAGAGTAGAGTAGATTTTTCTGCATATGTAGATGAAATTGTCTATTTTTCAACAGTGATGTGCATGTTTTAGAGTTTAAAGTGTATTTTTAAAAAATGATTCTCATGTCAAAATGAGTTTACACCTAAAGATCTTTTTAGCTTCCAATCATATTAGTTCCACAGTTAATACACTGTATGTATTCTTATTGCAGAATGTATTATTTAATGCAATAATACAGTTATGCATTTATAAACAAATGCTAATATCACTATAAACTAATAAAAAAGCAGCCCAATATTCCTATGGAAAAACTTTTCAGTTATGTTATTATTCTCAAGGTGAGACCAGATCAATCCTTTTCTATAAGAAACCAACCCTGAAGTCTGCAGCAAGATAATTTGGGGGGGGGGGAGAGAAGTGGGGGGGAAGCAGAGGAAGACACTACCTCAGAAGGAGTGCGTTCTTTTAGTGGCACATCTGCATCAAAACATATTTCCAGCAGTGTGGTCCCAAAACTCCATTTGTCAGCTGCTGTGCTAAGGTTGTTTACATCTTTGATACACTCTGGAGCAATCCACGGGATCCGGTCAACCCTTTCTTTATGAACAGAAAGAAATCAAAGATTAGGGATTGCTGGACAGAAAACAGAAATTATGCAAAATCTTGTACACAGATTGATTACAGTCAAGATAAGAAAAGTATATCCCGGCATCCCGATATAGTCAGATGACTCCATCTCTGACTATTGGGGGCAAGTCTTTGGCCCCCTCGGAGAGGGCCCGCAATCTGGGTGTCCTTCTGGATACGCAGCTGTCCTTGGAGGAACATCTGACGGCTGTGGCCAGGGGGACTTTTTGTCAGGTTCGCCTGATACGCCAGTTGTGGCCCTTTCTTGATTGGGATGCCCTGCGCACAGTCACTCATGCCCTCGTCACCTCTCGCCTGGACTACTGCAACGCTCTCTACATGGGGCTCCCCTTGAGGGGCACCCGGAGGCTCCAACTGGTCCAGAATGCGGCCACGCGGGTAGTTACAGGAGCTGCATGGCGCTCCCATACAACACCTCTCCTGCGTGAGCTGCACTGGCTCCCAGTGGTCTTCCGGGTGCGCTTCAAAGTGTTGGTTATCACCTTTAAAGCGCTCCATGGCATAGGACCTAGATATCTTCGAGACTGTCTGCTGCTACCGACCGTCTCCCATCGACCTGTGCGCTCCCACAGAGAGGGCCTCCTCAGGGTGCCATCAGCCAAACAATGTAGGCTGGTGACCCCCAGGGGAAGGGCCTTCTCTGTGGGGGCACCCACCCTCTGGAACTAACTGCCCCCAGAGATAAGGGGAATCCAAGACCTCGGTGCCTTCCACCGTGCCCTTAAAACCTTCTTTTTTCAGCAAGCCGGGCTGGCTTAACTTTTTTTAAATGTTTTAAATTGGTTTGTTATTGTTTTTAAATTACGGGGCCAAATTTATATATATCCTTTTAATACTATTTTAATGTTTGTAATTTATGTTTTTATTTGGCTGTACACCGCCCTGAGTCCTCAGGGAGAAGGGCGGTATATAAATTGGATATAAAATAAAAATAAAATAAAATATTAAATATTTACTCAGCAGCATGCAGGCTATCATGTAATATGCAATGTGAACATGACACATAGAGATCTTGTAATTCTTTCCCTTAAAATTGTAGGCATAACAAGTATTTGAATCTCATTTTCTACAAGTATAGTCCCCTTTAAACAAACCAGCAAACAAATGTATCCCTCCTTAAATAATCCACACTACTTTGAAGTATGGAAATATTGGCTTGCTAGCAAGGGTTGGGGTCTGCTGAATTATTTCACCAGCAGGAAAAATAACTTTGCACTCAAAGCTTTATAGCAAGTTGGGTGTCCAAAGATCATTCTTAATGTTCTTTGGAAGACTGAAGGCCATAAAACAAATGGAGTCACATCATATATTAAGGTGGTGGAGAAACTAAGTTTCTGAGTTGGAATTTGGTAATTTTCTTTATTTTTCAAATATTATATGTATATTTTAGGGCTTTAACTGTGATTTTTATCAATTCCCCACTTCAAAATCATAGGAAAGTCTCTCATCAATTCTCATCAATGCTGACCATAATCTTAAGGGCCACAAAAATGGAACTCAGACATTGCCATCTCTGCTTTACAACATCGGCTGATTTGACTTGGGCAGTAAAGTGAGGGGGCCTTCTTGCCAAAGTAGGATTTACACCTATATTTTCCAAGGTAATGAATATCAGTTTCAGCAGCACATATGAAAAGAATGTTTTTCCAAAGAAAAATAATTTAATGCTCACAGAAACTAGTATGGTAGGAAGAAGGCCAAGTTAGAAAACATTTTAAAAAGTACAATCTAACATGAATGAGAGGTTGTGTTAAAAATGTGAGAACATCAGCACAGACTTTTCTAATGTTCATTCTGCCTTTGCAGAAGATTGGGAATGCAGCATAAGGTCCCTTTGGAGTCAACTTTGCTTCTGATAGAATAAGGCAGGTACTGTCACTACAAATACAAGACCATCTATTAAAAAACTTTCGTCCCAGAAGGTCCAAATGCATACAAGCCCTCATATCACACAAAAGGATATGAAAACATTTATACTATTGATTTGATATGCTTTCAGAGAATCCTTCTATTCAAGCCTGCTAATATAATATATTCAGCTTGATCACCTCTATATACCTTGATCACAAATGTAAAGAGGAAACTATTTTCCAAATATTAACGGTTTACCTTCTTGGGAAAGCACAGTGAAGCTGACTCCTGGGTCACTGAGCTTAATGAAGGGCAGCAGGCCATCTTCCAAACCTTTCCTGGCCAACAGGATGTTTTTGGCACATACATTGCCATGCACTAGGTTTTTATCTTCCTACATAAACAAATACAATAGTAGATTGTGACATACTATATCTGATGTGTATCAGGAAAAAAGTGCTGCTCTTTAGAAAAAAAAAAGAATGAACTTCCATCTCTAGATTCCTGTACAAGCTAATCTAGTTATTTTTGCATTTTGCCTCAGTTTTCTCAAAAGACAGCTGTTAAATAGAAAGTTTACAAATTCAGTAAATAAAAAATATATTTATTGTTCCTTAACCAAACCTCCCCGTAAACACAACATTTATTCATCACCACATTTATAAACCACCTAACTCATTAAGACTATGAGCAGAATACAACTTAAATGCAATGTTCACTACAATAAAATAACAGGGTGGGAGACACTAACACACTGATAAAACCCACCACCCACCTCAAGGGCACATACTATTTAGCACCTGGGAAAGGATCCAGGCTTTCAAGGACTGTTTAAAAGGTAGGAAGGTTGGATTAACTTGAACCACTGTGGAAGTACCCTTCCAAAGAGCCTTTGCTACAAGAGAGAACATGTGCCACATGAGTCCCATGGCACTATTTTAAGGATGGAACCTGAAGAAGGTCCACTCTATCAGATCTTACTAGATGGGCAAAACAATGGGTCCCAAAATATTTAAACCCTTAAACTCAGGGCCTATTTACTAGCTATTCCTCTTCTCTAGGAATATAACCTGTCCTATACTGTAGGTGTTGTTTCCTTGTTGGTTCTTCAAGCTGAGAATCAGAGGAAATCATATTACAATTCTGTCCTTCAAAGTAATGCTTTGAAATGTATGGATGCATGTTTGTGTTTATGTAAAGTACTTGTCTGCAACCTTTAAAGCAGTTGTGTTTTTTCTTGGAATCATTGGGGTATAAAACACCTTTTCAGAATCTAATCCAAAATACTTTTATAACCCTTCTGATCAATATCCACACTAAATTACAATTCCAAAGAATTCAAATTCAAGGGCTGGTAATTAAAAGTATGTATAAGAAAAAGAATCCTACAATTCTGCCATTTGAGTCACTATACATAACTCCAATAAAAACTGGAGAATGGAGATCAGCCAAAATGACATCCAAACTTTCCAAGAAGACCCACCTACTGCAAATCCCCACCAACAGACTTACAAGGTAACTGAGGGCACTAGCTAATTGTGTTGCAATAGTGAATTTCCAGCCTACTGTTATCCGTCCTTTGTTATTACGCAAAAAGACATCCAGGGGACCATGTTCAATGAATTCTTCCACCATTATATCTGAAAACCAAACCAGAAGTAGGGATGAAAAATATGAAGCAAACAAATGGATTAGCATCCTTGCTCTATAGCAACAGGTGTTAATATTGGCTACAAAGTATGAGCAGAGATGGGAATGGACTTTTCATATACTTAAGATAGATCTAAGACAGGGGTTCACACACTCAAGGCCATATGCATCTGAAACGTCTTTTTTGCAGTTTCTAGAACCACTATTTCTCATCATTTTGAGACATAAATTAAGTCAAATCATTGGTGTAAGACCTATAAAAACTCAATTGTTTAAAATTAAGAACTTCCTATGTGAAAAAGGGAGTAAAAATCAATCCCACTCATTTAGCACAATAGTCTAGTTCCCTGTGGCTTCTGAATATCTCAGAAATATTAAGTGCACTGGTGGCTATCAAAAACTATCCTAATCTAATCTAAAACAGCCGCAGAAGAAAAACGACCTATTGGTTAGAAATTGGACAACTCTGTCAAAATATATTTGGGTTTAACACACTTTTTTGCTAGATGCAAAAAGAGATAAAACAGTATTAAGCAAGTAAGAATGAAAAGTGATGCAAAGGTACATCTTGAAGTTTGTAGGGTAGTTGAAGAAACAGAAGAAATATATTTGGAAGAAGCAAACAACACATGCATGAATCTTTCAAAGGATACAATTAATACTCACTCTCTGAACCCCATACACAAACCCCATGAACAAAGGCTAAATGGATATGGGACACCTGGCTCATCAGGCTGGCTGTTTCAAAGAATGCCTGCAGAGAAGAAAGGGAAGGCATCACATCCAGATCACTGGCCAAGGAACATAGCAGGAGCAGTCTAATCTATACATGGCCTCCTAAACTACCAATTAATTCTTGGCCTAAAGCTAGAGCAAAGAACACCTGTTGCCATAAAGCAATAGTTAATTTCTTATTCATTATTTTGTTTTTCTCCACAAAACAACAATGGGTTCATTTTAAATGATAGGCTAAATAAGCTTTCCTAACAAAACAAAAAAAACTTTCTCAACATGAGTCCTTGTTCAGATGTAATTTCATTTCTCTTGCTTATTTTTAAAGCAATATCATATATCATTTACATACATAAGAGTTTAAGTACAAGGGAATAAGATAAGTTAGAAATGCTGGTAGCTTATCCTGGTAGGTAAGTAGCCTTGGTTTAGTTACTCATTACTCTTCAGCAGACAGCAAATAAATAGATAGAATACAATATTCCCACAAGATTTACTAATGTTCTGCCCACCCACCCCCAAGATGGCGCGTTGAATGGCAGAAGGATTTTTCTCTCCAGCTGATGGTATTTCTCTGCCAAAGTTGGTTTGACTAACTTACTAAAGTTCCACTCCTAAAATATATTTTTATAGGTCTACTCACCAGAGCAATGTCTCTATGACTTGGGTCCAACATCTTGAGTACCACATGCATCTCACAGCTATTGTTATTCTGCTCAGTAGAAAAATACTCTGCCTCATCATCACTGTTGATCCCACTGCATACATGAAGTACACCATCATAAATATTGGTTCGTGTTCCTTGTCCCAAGTGCGCTCTCTGATGGAGAACAATACAGCAGTGTTAGTTAAACCACTTTCCTTTGCAACACAAAAGCTATTTAATCCTTCAATTCCATACTGAGCCAAGAATTGATTCATAATTATTTGAAAATTAATAAATTCAAAATCCTACCTGTGTCAGCCAAAGGTTTAAAAAAAAGAAGAAGACAGTAATCTCCATTGTCAAGCATTTAAATAAATAAATAAATAAATAAATAAATTTATTTCTATACCGCCCTTCTCCCGAAGGACTCAGGGCGGTGTACAGCCAATTTAAAAACACAAGACACAACAATGATTAAAAATTAAAATAATTAAATAAATTTGGCCGGATTAAAACCCCAAAAATTTAAAATACTCCAATTAAAATTATTATGTTGATAGCCCGGCCTGGCAGAACAACAGGGTCTTCAATGCGCAACGAAACACCCGGAGGTCGGAGATCTTACGTATTTCCGGGGGCAGTTCATTCCACAGGGCTGGGGCTCCCACAGAGAAGGCCCTCCCCCTGGGTGTCGCCAGCCGACATAACTTGGCTGATGGCACCCTGAGGAGACCCTCTCTGTGGGAGCGGACTGGTCGGTGGGAGGCTATTGGTGGCAGAAGATGGTCTCGAAGGTACCCGGGTCCTATGCCATGGAGCGCTTTAAAAGTGGTAACCAACACCTTGAATCGCACCCGGAAGACCACTGGGAGCCAGTGCAGCTCGCGCAGGAGGGGTGTCACGCGGGCACAACGGGTTGCGCCCATAACCACCCGCACAGCCGCATTCTGGACCAGTTGGAGCCTCCGAGTGCTCTTCAAGGAGAGCCCCATGTAGAGAGCATTACAATAGTCCAGCCGGGAGGTGACAAGGGCATGAGTGACCGTGTGCAAGGCGTCCCGGTCCAGAAAGGGCTGCAACTGGCGGATCAGGCAAACCTGATAAAAGGCCCCCTTGGCCACGGCCGTCATTTGCTCTTCTAAAGACAGCCGTGCGTCCAGGAGGACACCCAGATTGCGAGCCCTCTCTGTGGGTTGCGAGCCCTCTCTGTGGGGGGCAAAGATTCACCCCCAATAGTCAGCGATGGCACCTGCTGACTATATCGGGACGCCGGCAGCCACAGCCAATCGGTCTTGGACGGGTTGAGTCTGAGCCTGTTCCTCCCCATCCAGACCCGCACGGCCTCCAGGCAGCGAGACATCACATCAAGGGCATCGTTGGGGTGGTCTGGGGTGGAGATGTACAGCTGAGTATCATCAGCGTACAGATGACACTTTACCCCAAAACCACAGATGATCTCACCCAGCGGCTTCACATAAATGTTGAACAGAAGGGGCGAGAGGACCGACCCCTGTGGCACTCCCCATGCGAGACGCCTCGAGGTCGACCTCTGCCCCCCTGCCAACACGAACTGCGAGCGGTCGGAGAGGAAGGAGGAGAACCACCGCAGAACGGTGCCCCCTATTCCTAACCTCTCAACCACTGCAGCATGATACCATGGTCGATGGTATCAAAAGCCGCTGAGAGATCTAATAGGACTAGGACAGAGGAGCAACCCCTGTCCCGAGCCCTCCAGAGATCATCCACCAACGCGACCAATGCCGTTTCTGTGCTGTGCCCCTGCCTGAAGTCCGACTGGCACGGGTCTAGATTTATCTTGCTTTACTCAAATCTCTACTGAAAGTCTACTTCCAAAGCCCCAGAAATACAGGTAAGCAAAATTGGAACTATTAGTAGCTTCTAAGCCATAATTTGTATTTGTTGATATTACTTCTGAAACTGGTAAATAACGCTAGATCCTTTTTGGTTGATATCCTTACAAACCCAACCTTTCATTTTCTAATGTATACAAGCCAACTCTCCTGACCTGTGTAATCTCATTCTTCCGAATCTGATGAAAACTCAGCTGAGTCAAATTCAGAATCTGCCTTGTGCTGTCTTTCACTTTTCGTGTGATGATCAAGTCTGAGATCTCTGCAGAACATAAATAGTTCAAAAGTTCTGATTAAGAAATTACACTAAAACAGTAGAACAGAATCAGAACATTTATAAGGAAACATTTAGCAATTTTATTCATTCCCAGAAAATAATTAGCATGGATGACAATTGTTTAATACTACCAAGGAAAATATGTTTCCTAGAAACAGCTTTTAATTTTAAAAATGTACAATGCAGATTTTTTAAAAAAATTGTTCCTGAAAGTATTCAATCAAAAATTCTTCCTGAAACTCATTATTTCTGCCAACGTGTTAATGTCAAACAGTACATTTTGCTACATATTAGTTCTGGCAACTTTGCCCTCCCCTCATAGCATATGTGCTTGCCGAGACAATCCAGACCTCTTCACAGTTTCTCCTCCAACTGCCATTACAAATGAAGCTATGTGTTGTGCCTGGATACAATGGAGTTGATTTTCTAAGACTTGGACCATATCTAAGAAATGCCTATCCTAGGAAATACATCTTGTATTCATGCTGATCTATTTTGATAGAATTTTTATCAGTTAGATTTAATTTTAAATGCCTGCACTATAAAACAATAGAGGCTATTATGTTATATATTTATATTTTCATTCTTTTTCTTGAGGTCTTTACTATCAGAATTAACTTTATTTATTAATTTATAACATATGTATAGCTGCCCAACTTGCATAGTTACTCTTGATAGTGTACATAATAAAACCATCAAACTAACAAAAACCATTAAAACTATTAAAACAATCAATTTAAAAATCAAAATTAAAAAATAGAATGGTGGTAAAACATGCAAACAGTACATTCAATTAACTGTCATATGGTCATCTAGCAGGTTGCACTTTATCATGGGATTCCTAAACTAGTTGATAGAAAGTTAGTTAGTTAGTTAGTTAGTTTATTTGATTTGTATACTGCCCTACTCCCGAAGGACTCAGGGCGGTGAACAGCCAAACAATAAAATACATAGATACAAAAAATTTAAAAAACCAGATAAAATAGAATTAAACCATTTTGGCCCAGACAAATTAAAACACCCCAATAATTTAAAAACAGATTAAAATTTACATATTAAAAAGAGGGAAAAGATTAGGCCAAGCCCGCCTGGTGGAATAAAAAAGTCTTCACAGCGCGGCGGAAGGTGCGCAGATCCCGGATCCTTCGTATCTCCGGGGGGAGCTCATTCCAGACAGTAGGTGCCCCCACAGAGAAGGCTCTCTGTTTAACCTTCCTTCCCCTCCATCTTTCTTTATGCAACTATCCTACTATGCAACTATCCTATTCAGAATCATCATAAATAATACTACACACATAAACACAAAAATCTTTAATCTTTTCTTAAAATAATTGTCCACAATAGTCCTGTTGGATGGGGAAGGAAGAGGTTTCTGAACATGGTATTTCCCAACTTTCTTCCCTCAAACTCATTCCAGGAATGTCTTCCTAGGATGATTAATAAAAATGGCCAAGCAAAGGAAGAATCACAATATAACTGGAACACGTTTGTAGCATGTTTTTTGCCCAACTGCTTGCCTTCTCTTTTCTAGTAAGGATCATACTCAATAGGCCAGTTACTATTTTAAAGAGCTCTATAAATCCCATAGAGAATCTTTTTTGGCAGATTTAAAACATCAATGAATAAGCAAACAAACAAGTAGCAAAACATTTGCAATAAACCTCAATAGAAACTTATATTAAAGAAATAAGAACACAAGCATGTGTCTTTCCTATGAAATAAGAATAAATAGGCAGAGTCAAAATATTCCTTTTCATATTCAAAGGAGAATATTTTGTGACTTTCACCCTCAAAAATGTTTTTAAATTAAAGATTTTGCACATATCTAGAGGCCTTCTATGTCACTTGCATATTTAGCTGTTTTTTACTATAAAACTAAAGACAAGATAGAGACAATTCTTGCTAGAAACTCAAATATAAATAAATAACAGCTTCTATCTAAATAAAGTCATTTCTGTAAATCTTAGCTATGAAACCATGATACAGACACAATTTCATCCTAAATCTTAAACATTTTTAAGCTAGAGTTTCTAGAAATTTATTTTTTCAGAAATGAGAAACTATTTAAAAATTATTTAAAACCAGAAGTTCTACTTTCCTCCTTTCACATACATAGGACACCAGCACCCTAGACTGAGATTATGGGTTTTTTTGGTTGATTTAATAAAAAAAGTATCTGCTAAATTAAATACATATAAAGGCAAATACAGATACATATGCCAAAGGTTTAAATGTAGACTGTATCCACATACTATAGCTGCTGATGGCTCCTCTTTCTATAGTACATCACTATGACCTGATCCATCTAATTCACTGGACAAATTTCACTTTTAGCCTATGTAGTGGGAAAAGATAATTTTGATTTGCTGTGTACCTCCTGGTTTTGGGAGGCAGCATCTCTTCAAACTGAAGATGTCAGTTCCAGATTTTAGAGTACAGCCTTTGAGAGCATTCATTAGTTCTTGGACACTAGGAAACTCTTGCTCCCAGCCTTCAAGTACAAAGGAATTTCCTTTCCTCTGGATCCGGAACTGTCTATAGTTTGCATTACCTTGGGTATTGATACTCTGGTGAAAAAAAAAACAGTAAGGAAAGAAGTAAGATATGGATACCTATTTATATAATCAGTCAGTAGCCTGTTCTGGAAGCAGTTTACCACGATGCTAACAAGAATTCATTTCCATGCATAGTTGGAGGGTTTAACTTAGTGGATAGCATTCATTTTTAGTATGGTACATATGGTCCACCTTCCTTTTCTGAAATTCTCAGATCAGGGATATAGTTGCTACATTACATTATGCTCTCATATACAAAGTTTTACACGTCTTCCAACTTCACTGTCAGGAAGAAGAGGATAATTTCTCTCTGTTTACGTAATGTGTGTTTTTTATTTATATTGACCACAAGGAGGCAGTGAAGGACAACTTTCATTCTATTTGGGATTCATCAGGATACTATCAGACATACTTTTTCTGGGATTCAAACCTGCTAACAGAAAGAGAATTCAGTTCCTGGTAGAGTTTGAATTCCACAGAAAGATCTCTGGTTACCTATGCCTGATGAGTCCCAAACAAGACAAAGCTTGTCATGCACTTCTTCTTTAGTTCACATTATTGATAGAGCATATTTTATGGAAGCAAAAGTTTCTACATGGTGCTAGATAAGCTTCTGTCTGAAAGCCTGGACAGTTATTCTGAATCCATATCAACAGTTCTGGGCCTGAGAAAAACTAATTACCTGACTTGATACAAAGCAATTTTATATATTTACCGTACATTTACAGAAGATTTTTGCACTCCTACTTTAGAAACATGCTGCCTTTACATCTAGGAAGTTGCTAATGTATTATTTACTTATCTTTTAAAAAATCCTCAGAACATTAAAACAAAAATTTATGTAGCTTTTCTCTAGCTTGTACTCTATAGAGACATGAACATTTGATCTCAGAATTCTCAGCAATATTTGTTGTCTGGGATTTCTGAAAAGCAAAGGATACATTCAGAGAATACAAGCTTAGGAAAGCTGGTTTACAGAATCAAAAAAGCTCATTACCATTTTCACATCTCTTACTTGGCCATTCTTCAGTACTGATAGAATCAATCTGTTGAAATCAAGGACACTCCAACGGAGGGCATACAGCCCATCTTCCTGCCCTTCGCGCTTCAGTTTAGCCAGAATGAACTCTTCCCTAGGAAGAGAAAACTTTTAGATATGATGTGGAAGCTCCCTTCTTTCAAACCAGATCATGGAGGACAAGAGGCTTGATTGCTTACTGCATGGGTCCATGAATACCATTCTGGATGCTCATAACAAGTTGTGGTGGGGCAACTTCATGACACAGATAATGGCTAGAATCAGCTGTTAATCTGAAGTAACCATCTACTAATGAAATCAAGGAGAGAGCAGCTTCATGGGATGACAGAGTCAAATCCTGTATTTTTTTTTTTAAAAAAAAGGAAAAGCACAATTGTTAGTCCTGAGCTACAGGGCCAAAATAAAAGCCCATTAGAAGCTGTACATTTTATTCAGCGAATCTGTACAAATGTGTTGCTTTTGGTTACTAATATTTTTGCTTATACATCCTCCTCTCCAATTCAATTAATATCACATTCACTGCCTTATATAGAGCCATCAGATTTAACATAGATAAAAAAAAATGACCAGCTCCAGCACAGTAAAAATAATCTGAACTACATTTAACTCTCAATATTCATGTTTTGTTCTTTAATTACCTACAGCATTCATCAAAAACATGTAAGTCATAACTTCACACAAAAATGGTAAAATAGTAGTAGGACACTCTTTCACCTACCAGACACTTGTTGTCTTGCCGATGGATGCTGATGTTGCAATCTTTAACAACAATATGTGTGATCTCTTGAAAGTCACAGAAGTGTGCCCATTTAGCTTCACATTGCTCCACTGGTTGGTAGGACTGCTTGAACTTGTGCTCCTTAGTCTTGACTTTCCTCCCAAAATAAATTTTATGCGGCTGACTTTGTGGTTTCTGCAAGAATTTTAAAGTGAGTTTTGGAATCTTTGGCAGTGATTATAATATAATTATGTAACACTCTTTCTATCAACTAGCCCTAATAGGCCATCTTCCAAAGTTGCAGAATCAAGATATCCATTCCCTTGCATATACTCATACATAAAAAATGAGTAATTTATTCTTCACTTGCAGAAATGTAGGACTTCATAAGCCACACTATCAACTTGGCCCTCAAGGTGAACTGGATCTGCATTTTCTAGAAGTTGGAAACTAAACTGTCAATTATTGCTGAACTTCTACTATGAAGAAACAAAATTGTAGATGACCATGCTACCTATTATGGGGGAGGAATAATTCAAAACAGGAACAGGTAGCATATTGCCTTTATAAAAGCAAATTAGCTTTTATAAATCTTTATAAATACGCTTATAGATTTTTATAAGCATATTTTTGATTACCAAATCTACAACCTGAACATTAGACAGAAGTCAAGTGGAAAGAAAAGGATGCTTATAGGTCCCAGAATTCAATAGTCTTGTCAGCAATATCAAATATGTGATCTATGCAGAGGCTGTTTTGTTTCTCATACCCTTTAATTTTTATAAAAAATTAGGTGAATGTTAAACTGCACTTGTTTAAAGTTTTATTTTAAACTGATTTTGGCTATTATTAAGACTGCTACGCTAATTAAGATTCAAGTTGTATTTGAGCCAGTTTTCCTGACAAAATCTTTAGAAAATTTGGACTTTTAATTGGAACAAATAAAATTAAGCATTCCCAGAGTATCAATGTGTTTGTGTGTGTTAATGAATATCAAAGTGATATGATCAAGATGTCTTAAAAATGGGTGTTGAAGGAAGGCTTTAATCACCTGGTCACATCTGTTATTTTGATATTGTTAACCAACTTGTTCGCCTATGTGTGTCTCAGGGTATCCCGCAATGTACAGGAATAATATGTGAAATCTCCAGAATTACATGAAGACGAATCCATAAATAATCCTACCTCAACAGGGATAAGCCGCCACTGAATCCCATTAATGCCTGTGATCAAGACTTCATGTGTGACAGGCCTGCTACCATGAGAAGAATAGGAGTTCTCCAGATCCGTATGACCACCATTGATATAAAGTGGCACCTTCTCACCCTCCGAAATGATTTCCAGTGAAACAGCTGCAAAGAGCTCAGTCCCAAAACGTGGAGCCAAGTTTTCCAAAGTAGCTAAGTACTTGTGCATGAGATCCTGTTCTGTAAGTTTACCAGTGCTCAATGTGTGCTGCTGGAAACGCTGCAAGAATTTTTTGAAAACATTCTTCATGCGGAATCTGGTCAAAGAATTGTTCTGCTGAATCTGTTGGCAAAAGGATCGTGGGATGCACTCTTTGAAACTGCAAGGGACATAGACAAATTGGTACCAAAAGCAACTTTCATAGGTATGAATGTGTTTCTTCAGTAAAACAAATGACAAAATTAGAAAGATACATAGACTGATAATACATTCCATCTAATCTCCCCCAACATCAAATGATTACTGGAAACTAGGCTCATTGTTGAATTGGCCCACACACATATAAAACTCCTATCAGTAGCAATGTGCAAGTTAAAGAATGTAAGTTTTATGATAGTGTTTTTATTTCAATAAATAGTATTCACAATTCTTTAAAAATAAATTTTGGACCACATGATTAAAAAGCACATTAAACAAAGATACAGTTTCATAAATAATGACAATACCTTGTTTTCTCTGCCACCTCTTCAAGAGAAATGCCTTTCTTCAGTGCAAGATGACATAGGTGGAGGACAGCCATTCCCAGGCTCTCATTTTTAAATTGGTGAATTTCCTGTTCAGTATGTAGGTCTTTTAAGGAGGCAATATCATTGATGAAGTCATATTTCCCCTAATAAAGAATAATCCAAAATAATATGAAGCAAAGAATTCTCCAAAATAGTAGATCTCAGATCTATCTCCTTGGGAATTTTTCTTGTTCTCTTACTGGGGATCAAACTAAAATATTGCCAAAGATTGGCATAGCAATTTCACATAGGCATAGCATTTTCTGTTATACAAAATACTAAACTTTGCTGCAAAAAAATAAGAATGATTGCATAATGTGTAACTGTAAAGAGAAAAAACTGCTAGGAATGAAGCCCCAAAGAGAAAGGAATAGTTAAAAAGAGAGCAAAGAAAATGAATACAAATGTTAATGGAAATTTTGGGATAAAACTGAGGTACCCTGTTCCCTGAAAATAAGACCTCCCCAGATAATAAGCCCAATCGGGCTTTTGAGCGTATACACTAAAACACCCCCCCCCTGAAAATATTAAAAGACATGCGCAGACGGTCCCCGCCATTTCCTCTGGTTAGGGTTAGGGAGACAGAGCTGGAAATCAGGCAAGATGGCAAGAGGAGCCTCATCTTGCTCCACATGCCCCAAACTAATAAGACCTCCTCAAAAATAAGGACAAGCGCTTATTTTGGGATTCAAAAAAAATATAAGACAGGGTCTTATTTTCAGGGAAACACGGTATATTAGGCTTAATCCAAATGGATGAACTATTAAAAGAAATGCCATACTTGCTCAAAGAGATAGGCAAATGATGATTTATCCAGGATGGCATTGCCTTGTTCACTCCTAAATGATCTGTCCTCTGAGTCAGCTGAGCGAGGAATACTGCGATATATGGTTGGCTCCTTGTCATTTGTCCCATGCCAGTTTCGGAAATAATATCTGTATGAGCAACAGTAATGATATCAAAAGCTTGTTGATCAAAAGGTCGGCAGTTCAGTGGTTCAAATCCCTAGTGCCGCGTAATGGGGTGAGCTCCCATTACTTTTCCCAGCTTCTGCCAACCTAGCAGTTCAAAAGCACGTAAAAAAATGCAGGTAGAAAAATAGGGACCACCTTTGGTGGGAAGGTAACAGCGTTCCATGCGCCTTTGGCATTTAGTCATGCCGGCCACATGACCACAGAGACATCTTTGGACAGCACTGGCTCTTCGGCTTTGAAACGGAGATGAGCACTGCCCCCCTAGAGTCAGGAACAACTAGCACATATATGCGAGGGGAACCTTTACCCTTAATGATATCTGTCCAATGGGTCTATAAAGAAGTCTATAGCATTAAAATGAAATATTAGTCATTATTACAAATATGGAGCCATCTGCATGTCATATTTATCAACATTATTCATAAAATCATATAATATTAATTTACTTACTCGTTCTCGTTCATAAACGTGTAAACTGCCTGAATCTCAACAGCCTTGGGCCAAATCTTAGAATAGGAAGGGACCTAAGTAGTCATCAAGTCCAACCCCCTGCATATCTCAAGAGTCACTACATTATCCCCAGTAGATGGCTAAAAATATGTTGAACAAGATCCAAGAATTGTTACAAATAAAAACCCTTGAGTCCTTCTGATTTCTGATCATATATGTCTAAACATTAATAATAACTTTAACAAGATCTGTACCGCTTTACTTTTTGCAATATTTTAAATGCAACCACTTTAAAATAATATCAAGAGAGGTAAATGGCAAAGTGATTAACAGCACGAATGAACTAGCAATAAATACATTTGTAGTATCACAGCTTTATTGATTGATTGATTGATTGATTGATTGATTGATTGATTGAATTTCTATACCGCCCTTCTCCCGAAGGACTCAGGGCGGTGAACAGATTAAGATTTCATATACATATAATTTTTTTTTTTTTTATAAACAGTAAATAATAAATTGAGTCAACTTGGTGTATCTGCTAAGACCTTGGCATAGAATTTAGATGTTTATGCTAGCCCTGCTTGTTGAAACAGAAAGGTCTTCAGGGCACGTCAGAAAGTGCGAAGAACTGGGATTATTTGTATTCCAGGGGGTATTTTGTTCCAAAGAGTAGGTGCCCCCACAGAGAAGGCTCTCTCCCTTGGAACTACTAGACGACATTGTTTTAATGATGGTACTATGAGTAGGCCTACTCTGTGAGAGCGTATTGGTTGGTGGGAGGTTATCGGTTGCAGAAGGTGGTCTCGTAAGTACTCAGGTCCTAAGCCATGGAGCACTTTAAAGGTAAGAACCAACACCTTGAAGCGCACTCGGAAGGCCACCGGAAGCCAGTGCAGCTTGCGTAGAAGAGGTGTTACATGTGAGCGCCATGTTGCTCCCATAATTACTCGCGCGGCCGCATTCTGGACCAGTTGGAGCTTCCGGTGCACTTCAAGGGGAGCCCCATGCAGAGAGCATTGCAGTAGTCAAGTCGGGAAATGATGAGGGCTTGAGTGACTGTGCGTAATGAGTCCCGGTCTAGAAAGGGACGCAATTGGCGAATTAGGTGAACCTGATAGAAAGCTCCTCTGGCCACGGCTGTTATATGATCTTCTAAAGACAGTCGTGCATCCAGGAGGATGCCTAAATTGCGAGCTTTCTCTGCGGGGGTCAATGACTCGTCCCCAATAGTTAGTGATGGGACTAACTGGCTGTACCGGGATGCCGGCAGCCACAGACACTCAGTCTTGGAAGGGCTGAGTCGAAGCCTGTTTTTCCCCATCCAGACTCGTATGGCCTCAAGGCACCGGGACATCTTCAAGGGCATCATTGGGGTGGTTTGTGGTGGAGATGTACAGCTGAGTGTCATCAGCGTACAGATGACATCGCACCCCAAAACCACGGATGATCTCCCCCAACGGCTTCACACAAATGTTGAACAGGAGAGGCACCCTGCAAGTAAGGGGCCTCGAGGTCGATCTCTGTCCACCTGTCAAAACTGACTGCGACCTGTCAGAGAGGTAGGACGAGAACCACCGTAATACGGTGCCTCCCACTCCCAGCCCCTCCAACTGGTGCAACATGATACCATGATCAATGGTATCAAAAGCCGCTGAGAGATCTAATAGGACCAGGATAGAGGAACATCCTTTATCCCGAGCCCTCCAGAGATCATCAACCAACGCGACCAATGCTGTTTCTGTGCTGTATCTAGGCCTGAAGCCAGACTGGAACAAGTCTAGATAGACAGCTTCATCCAGGTACTGTGGGAGCTGTCGTGCCACCACACTTTCGACAACCTTCGCTAAAAAGCGAAGGTTGGAGACTGGACGGTAGTTTGCTAAAACAGCCGGATCCAGAGAGGGCTTCTTAAGGAGGGGTCTCACCACCGCCTCTTTCAAGGTGGGAGGTAAGAATCCCTTGCTCAGAGAAGCGTTAATAATTCTCTGGAGCCAGCTACGTGTAACCTCCCGGGTAGCCAGCACTAGCCAGGAAGGGCACGGGTCCAATAAACATGTGGTCGCATTCAGCTTCCCCAGTAACCTATCCACGTCCTCAGGAGTCACAGTATCAAACTCATCCCAGATAATGTCCTCAAGATCTGCCCTCGTCATTTCATCCGAATTAACCCAGTTAGAGTCCAAGCCTTCCCGAATCTGAGCGATTTTATCATGCAGATATTGTGCAAAATCCTCAGCTCGTCCTTGCAGAGGGTCTTCCCGGGCTCCTAGCTGGAGTAGAGAGCGGGTAACCTAAACAAGGCAGCTGGGCGATTATCTGCCGATGCAATAAGAGCGGAAAAATAGTTACATTTTGCCGCTTTTATCGCCACTAAGTAGGTCTTAATATAAGATCTCACTAGTGTTCGGTCGGATTCGGAACGGCTGGTCCTCCAACTGCTCTCTAGGTGTCTTTTCCGGCGTTTCATCCCCCTCAGCTCATTAGAGAACCAAGGAGCTGGGTAGGTTTGATGCCGGGTCAGAGGCCGCAAAGGCACGACCCGGTCTAAAGCACCAGCGGCCATCCTATCCCAGGACGCCACTAGGTCTTTAGCCGCGTCATGAGCCAAGGTCTCAGGAAATGGCCCAAGCTCCATCCGGAACCTATCAGGATCCATCAGGCGCCTGGGGCAGAACCATTTAATTGATTCCGCCTCCCTGCGGTGGGTTGTAGTGGTCAGAAGGTCAAGCTTAAGGAGAGAATGGTCTGACCATGACAAGGGTTCGATGACTATATCCCCTATATCTAGACCATTCAGCCACTGGTCAGAGATAAAGATCAAATCCAGAGTGTGTCCCCCCATGTGAGTAGGGCCATGAACTAATTGGGTCAGGTCCATGGCCGTCATGGAAGCCATAAACTCCCGAGCCCCTTCCAACGTTTCACCAATGGATGGCAGGTTGAAATCTCCCATAACCAGTAGCTTAGGAATCTCAACTGCCACCTCGGCTATTACGTTGAGGAGCTCAGGCAGGGCTGCTGATACGTGGCAGGGAGCCAGGTACGCAATCAACAGGCCCATCTGTAACCCATAACCCCACTTCACGAGGAGGGACTCACATCCGGTTGTCTGAGGGACAGTGACTTCCCTAGGGTCAAGACCTTCCTTTATAATGACCGCCACACCTCCACCCCTGATGGAATGATGGCTGATGGAATGCGTGGAAACCTGGTGGGCACATTTCTATGAGGGGGACCCCCCCTTCATTGCCCAACCAGGTCTCTGTAATACCTGTCAGGTCCGCTTTCCCCTCCTGAATTAGGTCACAAATGAGGGGGGCTTTGTTAGCCGTGGACCTGGCATTGCATAACATCAGCCTAAGACTTGGGCTCTGAGACCTTGAGCAACCCAAGGAACGAGAAGAGCTTTGGAGGTCGGAGCACACCACCGCTTGAAAATAGTGGGTGCGTATTCCCCTGACATGATGTGGCCTCCTGCTCCCACCATATCTGCCCCTCCCAACCATAACCTTGATGGAACAGCCCATTTCCATGCCAGTATTAAGTCTGCCTATTCCCAGTTCCGAGTTTCCTATGATGTAATTTTGTGTTGACTTTGGCTTCACTTTTGGAAAATTATTTACTAATCCCTCCCTCTGTGGATTGCCCCCCAAATCCACATGATCCACCCTGTTTATACCCACCCCCCTTTCAGAAGCCATTAAGATTTTGGTTAGAAAATTAGATAAGAAAGCCCTTAATCCTCTTTTAGCACCGTGCCACCTCTCGGGATTCCAAAATCCATCATCAAGGTAGGCCCTCGATAATGTGGAGGGCCAAATTTGCGAGAGGGGGGAGTCTCGCAATGCCAAGAGTTTGGTCGCCAAATACATCTAGTAAGTCAGATGGGTATAGCATTTGGGTCTGGTCCAACAGTCTGATGTAAGAGTCTTGAGGCAGGCGAGTAATAAATTCAGTGTGGGTAAGGAACTGGTCCCTCTCACGGCAGGGGGAAGGAGTTTAGCGCTATCTCAGGATGGCCAGAGGATAAAAATCTAGTCATCCTCTAACGGTGGCTCGTTCTGAATGAGATGGTCGTAATAAATTTGTTGTTCCGTCTGCTCAAATGATGTCAGTAATTCGAAACTCCCTCAGCATCCACATTAGTAGCTGCCCAGACAACGTATGACAAGAGGGTGGCTCAGTTGGAAATAAAGCTAAACAGTGAAGGTAGAATGATAATAGCTCCATGGGGTGGGGATAGATGTATATAAAGAGGGAAGGTAGTCTAGGTGGTGAAAGTATAGTCTGGAGGCAGCTAGGTCAGTGTCAAAATCAAGGTGGTAATGTATAAACTGGAGGCGGCTGGGTTAGGGACTAGCCGAGGCAGAGAATTGAGAAAGATGGGGGAGGCCTCCAAGGTGACCAGGTAGATAGTCTTTTGTCAACCTCTGGCCTCTTCTACTCTTGGCATATTGAATAGTTCTCTGCATATATTGCCAGGCTCCAGACTTTAGATTATAATGATG